CTAGGAAAAACACTTATATTTAAAAAAAAAAACTACAATTCCCTGGGACCGCGCCATGCAGCTTGATACATATCAGCAACATAGTTGTAGTTCTTCTGATTTGCAAAGTAGGGTTATAAATAGGGTTGTAAAAAGATATATCTACTGAATATATCTAATATCTAGTAAAGCCGAACTAGTAAATACACTGCACCTAGATGAACTGTGATAAGAAAAAGTAAAGATGGTCAGATATTTTAGCAAGTAATCGAGAAACGGTGTTTTTGGTGTGGAGGATCTTCCAGTTGTAGAGTTGTCAAATAGTGTCATAAAAAAGTAAATCTACTGAATATATATCAAATATCTAGTATAGCCAAACTATCATGTTATCATTATTATTATTATTATTGGTGGGAAATTATAGCAGAGGAATATAATTGCCATTTTAATATCAAGAACACTTCTGTGTTTTTGTGTGTATACAGGACATTGTTGAATCAGGGAATCCGTGTGTCCATGACGACAAAGGATCCTAATTGACTTTACATTGGCATTGTTTCCGTGTCACCGGCACATAATTTCAACCCATTATGTGCTGCCACCACGGAATGTGGTGTTAAGAGGTCGTGGTCATTTCATGTATTTCTGTGAGATCAAGTTGTGCTGAGATCCAAGGGGAGAGGGGGTAGCAACAAAACTCCACCTAATGGAGGCTTATGGCGCCCCAGATTCAAATGTCCAAAAACACATAATTGAAACCACAAAATATCTCCATACTGCTTGTCCATAGTGATCCAAGTGTCCTGAAGCCCCGACATTAAAAAGTTGTTTGGAAAAACGTCATTTGAACTCTGTTTTTAGCCTCATTGTAGCCTGTAGCTCTAACTGCCTCTCTGGGCACCGCATTCATGTATGTGCGCGAGCGCTTGCTTACCTGTACATCTTTATTTGCATCACGTGACACGCGCACTACAGGGAGACAACAGTAACCACAGTAAAAGATAATTTGCACTAGGATCTTTTAGCAAAGGACAGCCCAACATGTCTGAAGACTTTGAAATTGAGGAGGAACAGCAATTCTTTGCTGAGCTGTATTTGTTTGAGCCCGAGTATACGGACGGGGAACTCAGGCTACTGGACGAAGCAGCCGCCGCAGCTCATGAGCCTAACCCTCAGCCATCCGCAGAATACTGGAGTCGAGCACTGGAAACCTGGTGGTGTCGTGGTTTCAAATGCAAAGCAATGCCAACGGATGACAAAAGTCTTTGCTGCTCAGACTGAGAATTGGCGATGCCTGCACTTGAGAATCTGGACATCAGTACTGACGAGACTGCTGTTCCTCAGAGACCGTGCATCAAATGTGAAATCACAATGCATTGTATATCTTCTATTACAGCCAGTGCAGATTGGTGGCTTATTGGGTTTTTTGGAGTGGGCCTTGAGAGGGGAAGAACTCGGCAGACACAACAGAAAAGTTTTGCCCTCCTGTATCGTTGGAGCCATTCGGGACAACTATCCATCCCCCACTGGACAGTACGTTGGGTTCAAAGAGAGAAAAATTAGCTCAGTGGGTCTTGAAGATAAACGTTTCATTTCGTTCCAGCATCCAGGAAAAGCACACATGCAAACCATCGCGAATTAATAAAATATAAAAGAAATGGATGGATATATATCAAGAAACGGATACAACTACAACAGTTCCGTCTATGGCGTCCACTCCAGAAGTCTGTGTAGGAAGTTCAGGTGGACAATGGCCTTTGTCTCAGATATGTTGTAAACATAGGTGAGCAAATCTCGTGCTTTCACTGGTCTCGCACAAGCGTGCACACATGAACACGGTGCCCAGAGAGGCAGTCAGAGCTACAGGCTACAATGAGGATAAAAACAGAGTTCAAATGACGTTTTTCCAAACAACTTTTTATGTTGGGGCTTCAGGACACTTGGATCACTACGGATGAGCAGTATGGAGATATTCTGTGGTTTCAATTATGTGTTTTTTTGACGTTTGAATCTTGGGTGCCTTAAGCCTCCATTAGGTGGAGTTTTGTTGCTACTTCCTCTCCACTTGGATCTCCGCAAGTGTTGTGAAGACTCTAAAACTTCACCTGATCCTCATGAGGGGGTGAGTAGATAATGGGTGAATTTTCATGTTTGGGTGCACTATCCCTTTAAGGCTGAACACAAATGTTCGCACTTCACTGCACTTGCAGACTTGCGGACTTTGCAGAAGCGTTCACGGGAAGTCCGGGAATGCTTAGGGCTGTCCAAATCCACAATTCATTCAGTCTACAAGGGGCCTCAAGCAGACTTTCTGTGGACTTCCGGAGAGTCCGCTTGTGGTGCAGACTTCAGCAGACTTCACTAGTTTAATTACCCACAATTCAATGCAATACGGACATGATGTTTTAATTTTTCCAAATTGCTGACAGAAAAAAAAAACACACACACACACACACAAAACACAAAACCCCATAAACTTATTATAAATTGTAATATTAAAACGTTACAACATCATGATACAGAAACATGTAGAGGTATAGGCTATAGAGATAATCAACATGCATTTTGCAGCCTAGCCTATAAAAGCTGTTCAATCTGATCACATAGGTGAGTGCTGCAGTGATCACCGTATACATGATGGTCTCTCAAATGTTCCCACGGAAACGAGTGAAACAGACTCCAAGCCTGTCTCTGTCCTCATGTTATAATGTTGCAGAATTCCGCTCTTGCAGACTTTACGTGGTGACGGTGAAGATGTCACATTACGTATGCCTGAAGTCCGTGAGGGCTCAGTCTGCAAGTCCAGAGGGTGGAGATTTGGATTCAGCCTAAGTGAGTGCCATGCTCCCGAAGGTAACATTATTTAACGTTATTCTAAATTATGGTGATGCACCTGTATGTTGTACACTAGATTTGATTGAGGTGGGTATTTGATATATAATACACTGTGCAATGCAACTGAGCATCCATCTATGTGAACACTATTCAGTGGCTTGAAGCCTTAAACCACATCAAATAATGTTGTTACATTATGCAGTGCTTTATTCACTTATTTGAGGACTACATGACCTCACGTTTGTGTCATCTACTATTTATTTGTTGTTGCATTACTCTTGCGAGCCTAGAATTTGATAATAATAACATGCAATAATTCAAACCCTTCATTCCAAATTATCTTCAAGCATTATAATGTAATGTAATCAATAAGGTCTAATCAACCTCCTTGACCTCCTTGTCAGAAAGTGACAGAAGAAGGAAAGAAAGATGTAAAAAAAAAAAAAAAAAAATTCTTCAGAATAAATTAGATTCATTTGTTAAAAAAACCTTATAAGTCTAAAACTGGTTAAAGCGGTCTCTTTACCTCACACCTCTCAGTGAAAATGGGTTTCTAGAGTCCTTACAATAGGAAATCTCTCTCCCTCCTCTCTCTGAGGGATAAATATGTGTGTTTGTGTGTGTGTGTGTGTGCATGTGTGCATGTCTATATATATATACATACATATATGTATAGACCCGGAGAACACTGATTGCTGCACCAATAGAGTAACATCTATTGGTGGAGGCAGTGTGATGGTGTGGGGCGGCATCCCCCTCACTGGAGGTAATCTCAATGCAAAGAGATATATCGAGATGAAATTCTGCAACCAGTGCTAATCCCATATCTCCACAGTCTGGGACCGAGCTCTATCCTCCAAGATGACAATGCTCGCCCCCACAGGGTGGTGTTTATCAGAGACTACTTCCAGAATTTGCTATATTGCTGTGTTAACACAGCAGTAGCACTCTGGTGCATTCTGTGCACAAAAACAATTGGACTGGTCCTGTTTCAAATGAACTCTTTGAGGTGAGAACGTGTCCCGACATCAGTCTGAACCAATTGCAGTTGCATTAGGCATTATATGGGTTAAATAAGCATGAGCATGTGACAGTGCGCCTCCTCCTGTACTGCCTTAATATGGGCATCCGGCGCATCCAATACATCAAAACATTGTTTTCTAGTTGGAGCCGTGCCTTGTTTTCAAACTTTATGGTTTGACTAAAATGAACAATACAATTAATATAGTACAAGATGACCAGCGCTAAAATCAGTTGTCCCACCATTGTGACATTAGAAAGTGTCACATTTATCGTGCAAGTGTACTCTTCTTTAACATTTCGTTTACTTCCTGGATTTTTCCCACATGGAAACTCTGACCAATCAAGAGCAGCTTTCTTGTGCAAGGTATTTTATCTGGTCCACTTGTAAATGCTGCTGTGAGAGCATGAACCAACTCTAGGCAATTATGCAGCTTTGTAACAAAATTCATCCCTGATGCGGACCAAAGCAAGCAAACTCTAGGTCTGAAAGCACCGTAAGGCAAGGACCATAATGCTGCTAGCCTACCTCAGGGGGAGTGAAACCACAAAAACAGGAGTCGGATGTTGCCCCAGTAAACAATATGTTGGAGAACCAGGACACCTTGATTACTGGTTACTGGAACAAAGATATAGATGGCCTAGAGCAGAGAATATGGAACTGTTTGAATGCTACGATACAAGTAACCCCAGTGAGAGGGGCTACATCCAGAGGATGCGGGATATATGGATGCTTTGAAACCCAACATCTAAACTGACAAAGAAACAACTCCTAGCCCAGTGACCCAACATCCACAAACTGCAACTGCTTTCACAACTAGAGATTGATGAGGTACAACAAACATGCTACAGCAAGGTGGAGCCAGGAGGACAGGTCAAAGTGGGGATGTCATCATCATCCAAGCCCCAAGCCCTTATGACACAGATTCCCTTACAACAAGGGCGATTGACCTGAGATTGATAATAATGAATTAACTGGAATTTCAGCACCCCCGAAGCTGATTACCAAAGTGAAAGTCTGCTAGATGATGTGAATGCAGAACTATGTACTATCCCCACTAGGACCATAACTAAGCAGATTAGCTGATGTACACCACAGCAGCAGTGATCCTAGAGATGTTTGGCTACAAGACGAACACCATGAGCCACAAAGAGCATTACCCTACATGGAGAAGGAGGCTGGAGGCCAAGATCAAGGTGACATGGAGAGAGGTTAGTTAACTCTTATCTTTAAGTGTAGGGAAGAAAGGAATACCTAGGAAGTACAACAATCTGTCTATACCTGAGGCACTGGAGACCGCAAAGCAAAGGCTCACACCTCTGGCTACCCACTAGAGAGATACACAAGGATGATAAATAGGATGTTCTCCACTGAACCATCCAAAGTGTACTGTCAGTGGCAAGGTAACAACACAAGAATATATCCACCCAGGGCTAAAACTGAACAATACTTGAGGAGCATATGGGAGAGGGAGGCATCACATAACACTGATGCTAAGTGGCTAGTGGATTTAAGAGCAGACCACAGCAATCTCCCAACAAGAGTCAGTTACCATTACAATGGCAGACATCCAAGAAAGAGTATCAGGTATGAAGAGCTGGACAGCACCGGGCCCTGACATGATCCACACCTACTGGCCAAAGAAACTAACTGCACCCCCATGAACACCTGGCAGCAAAAATGAACCAGCTGCTGATAGATGGGACACATACAGAGCAATCTGGAAATCCATTGGTAAAAAAAAAAAAAAAAAACACACAAAAAAAAAAAACTTTTTTTTTCTTCTACCTCTGGAGGCACAGCCCGGAGTTTTTCGACTAACGGAAGTGCAGGGGCCTCAGCGATCGCTCACGCCCTTCACTTCCGGCGGTGCCCCCAGGGAATCGCCGTGTTGTTTACAAATACTTCGGGTAGAAAACCAGCAGAGTTCAGCTATGTATTACATTTTTCACGTCACTGTATCACCGTGTAGACTAATCTGATGTTTGTTAAGTCTATAAACACAATGACTGAACAAACGTTACTATTTCTGTGTGCACGTTTTGTAAATAATAACAATAATAACATCGTAGATTAGGTGGGCTAACCGTTAGCTGTTAACGTTAGCCGTTAGAGGTGTCTGTAATAACCATAGACTGTATAAAAATAAGGTAATAACTCAATAAATGGTCCATGAATAAAATATTTTTTCCAGCGTATATCTTAGTTACATCATGATTGAGCTAGCAAAGCAGTTTTGTGTTGCTATGTGTGGTTATTCAGTTTTGGGAAATCACAATGTCTAACGTTAGAAAGCATCAGACTGCAGCTGACAGGGACAGCTAATAGCAGTAGCAAAGCTAACATCAGGACGTCATCTGCTAAAAGCCTCCCGTTGCTGGATACAACATGAAACTACTCCAGTTTGCTCAACCATGTTGTAACTAAGACATCCGCTGGAAAAAAAATGTTTTCACGTTGACAAGATGGCGTTTTGGGTGGAGCGGTCGCTATGAACGCGGAGCTTGCTGTTTCTGTAGGTACACATTTCCTGGGGACACCTGCACGTCTCGGCCACGCCCCCTCCATTGTGATTGGCTAAAGCGCAGCATTGTTCAAACTCAAAGCCCCGCCCTCCCCCCTCTCTGTAGTCATCTTTCACACAGGGCTGCCGACAGATTCTACAATGTAAATTGCAGAATCTGTCTTGAGAGATTACATACAAAGCAGTTGACCCAAGGACGGACAGTCCTGATCATGAAGGATCCCCAGAAGGGCTGCCTCTGTACAACATGCTTCTGTCAGGCATCATAGCGGCTTAGATGAACAGGCACATGGCCCAATACAATACAAGGCCGCCGCTTTCTGCTTCTGAAGAGTGCAGACGCTTTCCTGCTTGCTCCAGCCTGCTTCCTTCTTTACTCTGCTTTTTAATCGTTTTACTCCTTCTACAAATCCTGGAAAATCTCTATATCCATCATTTCATGAATTATTTTAAGTAAACCAAGACTTTGAAGAACATTTTTATATTTTTAACCGATCTGACGAGCCAGCAGCATGTCCGGGGGAAGAAACCAAACAAATTCCTTCTGTGAACGCTGTCGGAGATATCAACAAGAAATTAATGAGCTACAAGCACGGATTTTTGCTTTAGAATCTGAAAAAGGACTTCACAAGACGCTCCCAGTGACATCCGGTGGTAAGAAGCCCACAGTTACTTTCAGTAAAAAGGGTGAAAAACCTGCTACTTTCATCTTAAACCTGAGTGATACTGTGTCTTTTCCAAAATTCTGTAAAGACCAAAATGCCTCATCCTGGAGAGAACTTGGTGCTAAGCCAAAGCAGCACAAAGTGATGAGAGACAATGTTAATACCTACGTAACATCACCCAAAATACAGCTTACAAACAGATTTTTGCCACTGTCAGAGACTGAATTTAATGTTTCTAACGAACAAAGAGAAAATGGATTATCTTCACGAAACTGGAGCCATAAAGTCGGCAAAAGACAGCAGGCAGACAGACAATCTGGACCAAACGTCAAGGTCAGAGATACGCTGCTGATAGGAGACGGTGCTATCAGTGGCATAAACCATGGAAGAATTCAAACATGCTGCTGTCCCAGTGCCACTGTCTCTGAGATAACAACACTCCTCCCAAAAGTTTTGTCTACACACCGAGGAGTCAAACAGCTGATCGTGCACGTGGGTGCAGTGGACATCAGAAAGGAACAGACTGAAGTCTTGAAAAGGGATTTCACTAAGTTCTTCAAGGAGCTTGATAAAGTGGAGGTCAAGGCATTCATTAGTGGACCTCTTCCAAACATAGACAGGAAGATAAACAAGTTCAGCCGGCTGCTTCAGCTGAACACATGGCTGTCCAAAGAGTGTGCGCACAGAGGATTGCACTACATTGAGAACTTTTATCTGTTCTGGAAACGAGAGGACCTGTTCAAGGGAAAGGGCCCACACCTGTGCAGAGGTGGGAGGAGAGTGCTGACGGAACACCTCCTCCACGCTCTGAGGCATCAAAATGGGCCGGGACAGGGTCCTGAGCGACCAGTGAGAGAAAAGAGGAACGAGAGAAGCATCTCTGTCGCAGAAGCCAGAGATCAAGCCAGTGTTTCAGCACCAGCTGCACCACAACAGCCTCCACCGCCCCCAGCGAAGGATTCAGCTCCAGCACCACAACGGCCTCCACTGCCCCCAGTGAAGGATTCAGACCCGCCATCGGTTCCACCTCCCCTCGGGCCCTCATCACAGGCCTTGGACTCGTCTGTGACGGCCCCAGCGAAGGTTTCAGGCCCGCCATCGGTTTCACCTCCCCCCGGGCCCTCATCACAGGCCTTGGACTCATCTGTGACGGCCCCAGCAGAAGTTTCAGACCTGGCAGCACCCCCATTACCTCCTCTACCCACAGACCAGCCCTGGGGCCCCCCTGCCACATCTACCCCCTCTAGAGACTTGTCCCTCTCCTTTTCATCCCCACCTTCCCCCATGGGCCTTCCCAACCATCTTGAAAGCCTGATCAAATCAGGGATTAAGATGGTTCCCCTCACCCCTAATATAGCAAGGTCAAGACTTCTATCACCAACTATGCTGAACTCTTCCCCGTATAAAACTGTGCCCCTCAAGTCACACAGGAGCTTCAACTCTCCTGCTTCACAAACTAAAGCTCCCCCAGCTCCTCCCCCTCGGTTTTCATCTGGTCCATCACCCAAACTTCCCCCTGCTCGTCCTCCCCTGCCTGCCCCCAGAGCTGGTATCCCTAAGAGCTAGGATGCACAGGGCCTCTGCTGTCCCAGGACTTACAGCCATGATAAAGGTAATATCAAGCTGGGGCCCTGTGAGACAATATTCTCCCCTAGTGCTATATCTACAGCCACACCACATAGACCAGATTACAGAAGGACAGTTAGACTGTCCAATCAGAGAAATTTAATCCATATCCCTTGTAAGAAGATAATGTCCAGTCCTACTGAAACTAATCTGAAACTTGCTGTGCTTAATGTCAGATCCTTGTCTAACAAATCATTTTTAATTAATAATTTGATCTCTTCGTATAATCTTGATTTTATGTTTTTAACTGAAACATGGCTTGACAAAAACACAGGTAATGCTGTTCTAACGGAATCAGCTCCACCCAACTACAAATTTGAATCTGAAACACGAGAAAACAAAAAGGGTGGAGGTGTCTGTGCAATATTTAGAGATCATATGGTTATGCACAGGTTGTCATTTGGGGTGTTTTCATCATTTGAGTATGTATCCTTTAAAATGGAGCTAAAACAATCTCCGTCCATACTCTATGTAGTTATATACAAGCCTCCCCAGCACCGTCAAAGTTTTATTGATGATTTTACCAGGATGCTTTCAATTGTATGCACAGACTTTGATGGTTTGGTCATTACAGGTGATTTTAATGTACATGTGGATAATGTCTGTGACAGAAATGCTAAAGAGCTCAGTGCTGTCCTTGAAACCTTTGGCCTGACTCAGCATGTGTGTGAGCCCACCCACAGCAGAGCGCAGCACACTCTGGACCTGCTCATTACAAAGGGGGTTAATATTTCAAACGTCAATGTGGTTGATGTTGCTCTGTCTGATCATTTCTGTGTCTTCTTTGACCTGTCTGTTTCTCCCAAACCACCGGCTGGTCCTGCAGTTGTTCGGAGGAGACACATAAATAACAGCACAGGTGCTCTGTTCATGGAAATGATAAACTTTGAAAATGCCTCATGTTCTAATGTTGATGATTTGTTGAACTCTGTTACTTCGAGTGTTTTGAATGTTCTGGACACCATTGCCCCTGTGAAGGTTAAAATGGTTAAAAATAAGCAGAAGGCGCCATGGAGGAATGACGACTCGGTCAGGGCACAGAAAAGGGAGTGCCGGAGGGCCGAGCGGAAATGGCGCAAGTCAAAGCTTCATGTTCATTATGAAATTTATAAAGAAAAGTTGTACGTGTTCAACCGGATCTTACGTAGAACAAGGGAGAGGTACTTTTCTGAAATTATTGGAAACTGCAGTAACAACTCGCGTGTCTTATTTGCAACAGTGAACAGATTAACAAACCCTCCAGCTCAACTGCCGTTGGAACTGATCTCCACATCTAAGTGTAATGAGTTTGCAGTATTCTTTTGCGACAAGGTTCAGACCATTAAAAATGCCATCAATTCCACAACACCAATAACAACCCTGCAGCCACCTAGACACTTAGAGCTGACTCATTTTGCACCTGTAACTGACAAAACTGTCCAAGAGATCATCACCAGTCTGAGTTCATCTACATGCTGCCTCGATGTGTTACCCACTAGATTTCTAAAGTCTGTGCTGAGCAGTTTGTTACCACCACTCGCTCACATAGTTAACATGTCACTACAATCTGGAACATTCCCAAAGGCCTTGAAAACTGCGGTCATAAAGCCTCTCCTAAAGAAGAGCAGTCTTGATGCCACAGTACTGAACAACTACCGGCCCATTTCAAATCTGCCGTTTTTAGGCAAAGTCCTTGAGAAAGTTGTTTACCAACAGCTTACTGACTTTCTCCTAATGAACAACTCCTTTGATGTTTTCCAGTCAGGTTTTAGACCCCATCACAGCACTGAGACCGCTCTTATTAAGGTGACAAATGACATCCGCCTGAACACTGACGCAGGCAAAGTCTCAGTTTTAGTCCTGCTAGATCTGAGTGCTGCTTTTGACACTGTCGATCATGAGATCCTTTCACAGAGACTAGAGGACTGGGTGGGCATCTCTGGCACTGCCCTAAATTGGTTGAAGTCCTATCTAGAAGACAGGAAGTACTTTGTTGAAATTGGTAACTGTGTCTCAGACCACATGGCCTTGACCTGTGGGGTGCCCCAAGGGTCAATCCTGGGACCCCTTCTGTTCAATCTCTACATGCTGCCTTTAGGCCAGTTAATACAAAGTAATAATGTGTCCTACCACAATTATGCAGACGACACTCAGATCTATGTCTCACTGACAGCAGGTGAATATGGACCAGTGGATTCACTCTGTCACTGCATCCAACAGGTCAGTGTGTGGATGCAAAACAACTTTCTCCAGCTAAATTCAGACAAGACTGAAGTCATCGTATTTGGTCCACAGAAACAAAGAGAAAGTGTCAGCAGTCACCTCCAGTCTCTCTCTCTAAAACCTACAAATCAGGTTAGAAATCTCGGGGTAATAATGGACTCAGACTTGAACTTTAACAGCCACATCAAATCAATAACATCAGCAGCTTTTTACCATCTAAAAAACATTGCCAAAATCAAAGGTATAGTGTCTAAACCTGACTTGGAGAGACTTATCCATGCATTTGTCTCTAGTAGGTTAGACTACTGTAACGGCCTGCTCACTGGCCTCTCCAAACGGGCCGTAAGACAGCTGCAGTACATCCAGAATGCTGCTGCTCGGGTCCTGACCAGAACCAGGAAGTACGAGCACATTAGTCCTGTGCTCAGGTCTCTACACTGGCTTCCTGTGGCTCAGAGAATAGACTTTAAAGCAGCTCTGCTTGTGTACAAGTCTCTCCATGGCCTAGCACCAAAGTACATCTCTGACATGTTAGTGCCATATGAACCATCTCGGACTCTGAGGACCTCAGGGACCGGCCTCCTGCTGGTGCCCAGAGTCAGGACTAAACATGGGGAATCAGGATTCCAGTTTTATGCAGCTAAAAACTGGAACAGTCTTTCTGAAGATGTGAGACAGGCCTCTACTCTGACAATGTTCAAATCTAGGCTCAAAACAGCTCTATTTCACTGTGCATATGACTGAAAGGATCTTATCTGCACTCTTCTCTTTTAAAGTTCATTTTATAATGATTATTTATGTTTTTATTTTGTGTTGTGATTTTAATGCATTTTCTTGTTCTGTAAAGCACTTTGAATTACTTTGTGTACGAATTGTGCTCTACAAATAAACTTGCCTTGCCTTACAAGAGCAAGGCCCAGAAAGGAATTGGTAGTGATACGAGGGGACCCAACAACAGGCTACTGGTTGATATAGCAGTTACCCAAGACTGCAATACCAGGCAGACCTACCTGTGCACTGCCAGGATTGACTACAAGAAAGCCTACGACTCAATGACACACACATGGATACTGTGCCAACAGCTGGGATTTTTAAGGTGGAACATGAGCTCGTAATTTTACACAGTGCACGAGCTGACGACATGACTCAATCAGCATACCTTAGATATTCCATATGACAACTTGGACCATTACTTTAGTTTTTATATGACATGCACTTTTAGTAATGAGTGGATCTTCAGGCGTTCAAATATATTAATTTAAGCCAGGTTATGTGAACTACATATATCCGAATCCTCACTTGGAGAAACGAAAAGGGTCGTCAAAAGGGCATCAGGCCAACTCAACACTAAACCCCTGAGCTTGCCTGAGAAGGACTAAATGCACAAACCCAGTATTTTTTATATATCCCATGGAGAGAGACTCTCACTGCAGCCTATTTTGTTTTGAGCTATTTTGAGCTTCCAAATCCAGAAAGAGGAAGTATTTAAGTGTGGGAGTGGCCTATTTGAATCCATTTTGTTTGAGGCCATGCGGCAAGGTGAGTGTGCTTGCTGATCCTGTAAGTCCAGTTAGCTCCTTTAACTTTAGCTTATATTGTAGTTATGCTATGTAGTGTGTGAAATAGAGTATGGTGAATGTGACAGGAAAGCTAGTATCAGCATTGCTTCTGCCTGGAGCTCGCATGTATGGAGCCTGGGTTTGGTTGAAGATGGCAGTGCTGTTTGGGCTGAGAAAGCCATGTGTAAGTAAGGAGGAAATCCAGGAAGAGGAAGGTTATTTAAGTGTGGGAGTGGCCTATTTGAATCCATTTTGTTTGAGACCATGCTGCAAAGTGAGTGTGTTTGCTGATCCTGTGAGTTCATTTATCTCCTTTAACTTTAGCTTACATTGTAGTTATGCTATGTAGCGTGTGAAATAGAGTATGGTGAATGTGCTAGTAAAGGTAGTATCAGCATTGCTTCTGCCTGGAGCTCGCATGTACGGAGCCTGGGTTTGGTTGAAGGTGGCAGTGCTGTTTGGGCTGAGATCACTGTCCAGCCTCCTGGAGATGTCATTGTTGTGAGGGCTCGTCTTGGGGAGGTAGACTGTACAGCCTAACCCGGCGGGGGAGTGTGATAGCCTAACAAGGCTTCCTTCCCTGGGTCTACCTCCTCTGTGGTAGTATAGGTAAGGTAAAGGAGGTTGTTCGGTTAGTGTGGGGAGCAGTGAGACCTGGCATTAGGGGAGTGTCTCTAGGACGCCAGAGATCACTGTCTAGCCTCCTGGAGGTGTCGTGGGACCAACTAGACGAAACACCGGTGAAAGGAGGTTCCCACCCGATGACCCCAAAGACATGTTAGTTATCACTGCTCACTGGTCTGTATAGTTAAGCCTTGCCATAATAGCTTATCATAGGGCTTAGGAGGTTATTCATTTTTTTTTTTTAGAGCACAAACTTCTTGTGTTTATTTGAATTCTGAAAATGTTGGTGTGCAGTCTCGTTCCGTGGACGATAACCAGGGTGCAGACTGTGTCACCGATAATGAGGAAATACAGTGAGTGCTGGACGGAGTAGTGAGTGACAATAACCCCGCCCACATTTAAAGGTACGGTTTGCAGTGGAAATGCTAGGGTCTAGGTACCATGTCTGAAGGGTACTTTCGGTAACAAAGGTACCATACCAAAAATGTTTGGTGGAAATGGGGCTAAAGAGAGGGGAAATGATCAGGACTGCGGGGATTGAACTACCAGAGGGCA